CAACTGTCACAATTACAGGAATTCTAATTTGGAGATTTATATGGCTGGAGAAATGGGCTGACAGAGCCTCATGAAGTTCAACAAGGGCAATTGCAATGTCCTGCACCTGGGGAGGAACAACCTTAGCTACGCTTAGTATATGATTGGGCTGCCTGGCTGGAAAGCAGCTTGCCAGAAAAAGACTTGAGAGTCCTGGTGGACACCAGGTTGAACATGAGCCAGCAGTGTGTCCTTGTAGCAAAGACAGCCAACAGTATCCTGGGCTGCATTAAGGAGGAATGTTGCCAAGAGGTCAAGGGAGGAAGTTCTTGCTCTCTACTCAGCCCTGGTAAGGTCACACCATGTGTGTATATTAATACCTGAAGGGAAGGTGCAAAGAGGACAGAGCCAGGCTCTTTTCAGTGGTGCCCAGTGACAGGACTAGAGGCAGTGGGCGCAAAGCTGGTACACAGGAGGCTCTGAACATCAGGAAACATTTTTTGAGGGTGACTGAGCACTGATGGAGGTTGCTTTGGGAGGTTGTGGAGTCTCCATCCTTGGAGATGGATACTCAAAGGCTGTCTGGATATGGTCCTAGGCAGCTGGCTCTTCATGGTCCTGCTTGAGCTGAGGGGATGGGCCAGATGACCTTCTAAGTTCCTTCCAACCTCAACCATTCTGTGATTCTGTAAATACTTCGGAAGCAGTAACCTTCATCTAAATACTGGTTGAAAGAATAGGACACAAGAGAGCAAAACAATCTAAAATATTAGCAAAAAGCATGTGGTTGAAAGAAAAACAAGTGAGTTTTTGTATTTCTGTGAACAAAGAACCCTGCATGCAATTATTACCTTGTAGAGAATATTCATCCCATCGGTAAATTTTTTGAGAGATGTCTGAGAATGTATTAATCTCCTAGATGGCCATTTACTGTCCTTGCTTTTTTTACGTCTAACTTCCAATTTAATCACTTGTCTTTTTCTTCTTAGTTTTACTCTGAAATTTATACTGGCCCTTCCCAAATATAGCAGCTTTGTATCATATTTAATTTTAAATGAAAAAAACTAACTAAATGAGAAAACTAATTTTCCACAATAAATCCTCATCCTGCACTATATTTGCAAATATTAATACCTGGTTATTTCTCTCTGTTTCCTTTGCCAAACTCCTTTAAATAAGGTTTTTATTTACTTCGATATTATGTTTCCTATAACTAAGAGTATATGTCCACCTTTGTAGCTTGTGTAGCATGAAATAAGGTTGGTTATAGATGTCTGTCATGTATAGTGTTGACTATAAGATAGACTATTCATACCATTAAACTACCTGCTCTCCTGTCTTGAGTCACTTAACATGTACCATAGGATTCTCAGTGATTTTAAAAAAAAATATTACTGAACAATTTAACTAATGTCAGGTTTTTGTTAGGGATGTGTCTTACCTACTTCATTGTCCTACTATTGCATGCCTTCCTATATCGTTATACTTAGAAATTCACAGGTAGACGGTTCTCTGAGGCTTAGAATTGTTTTATGATGTGTTTTTCCAAATGGAAGTCCCAGTCCATAAATACAGTTGTCCTTGAGATTTTATTTTCCCTCTTACACCACCTGAAGTTAACATTGTGCACCAGGCTACCCAATGAGTATGTATTTTTAGCTCAGAGTAAATGTCTCCATTCTGTTCCCCTACAGACGCTTCTCAAAGTTGCTCTTAAGGGATTACTTAGTAAAGCTTTAACATTACAAACTTTTTTCCAAGCAAAATTCACACACCTGAAAAACAAACTGCAAATGTAAAAGTTCTGTTAGGTCTGCTGAGTAACTTAAGAAGCTAGAATAAGTGGAGCGTTCAGAACATAAACTACAAATCAGCCTTTTGTCATTCCCTCTCATGCCACTAACAAGTCCTTCTTGGTCTTCTCAGGTGCCTCCCTTAGAGACCCTTCCAGTTTTTTTGAAGTTCTATCTAGAGATCATAGAAACACGTGAGTGCAGCAGATGTCAGCAGTCCTAGCCCAGATTAGTTGCCTATTGCAATGCATGTGAGCAGTATGACAAGTGGCCTGGACAGATGTCTTCTGCTCCATGAGGGAGAAATCTCTGCTGCTGCAGTTTCACTGCTGTGGGTATTCAAACCCTAAACTACTAGTAAGCATGGCAATCATATTCCTTGGCTGCAGACTTGTCTTTTGTGCATATGTAGTTAACCACTCTATAAATTAAATCTCAACATCTAGAAACAAGGAGTGGTTTAAAATTTGGGGGTATGTGGCTGTTCATTAGTTTGCCATTTACTAAATAACTGTCCACAACTAGGCATGTCCACGATTTGAAGGATTTGTCTGTTCATTGAGCTGACATAACGTGAGGAAGCAACAGTGAAGCTAGTTCATGTGTGATATAAGAACATAAAATCATGCATTTTAATACCCAGCATGATAAATGTTTCTGTTTTCATAGTTGATGGAGATATATTAGTGAAATATACAGAATTTTAATCTTGAATTTGCAGTTCACTTCTTCAGATAAGTGTAGAATCTTACAGTGATGTTTCTTTTCTTATCCTTTATGTATGCAATTTACTGCATTTTGAAACACATATTTATCATAGAACTGAATGCATACTAAAACAAAACAGAACATATCTGCATTCATCCCTCACTGTGATGTTATCTTGTGCAGCTCTCCCCTTTCTGCCTTCTTGCTTTACTATTTATTCACTCTTAGTATCTGGTCTTTGTCTCATAAATCATGTTGATAGTAAGCTAAATCTAAAATATATTGTATTTTAACATGAGATTACATTTGGCCTCTTGGGGACAGTTAGTATATAAGAAGACACAGGTTTTAATTTTGTCAATTTTTATTGTTTTCTTTTTAATACTCCTATGATCATTCTCTCTATGATTCTAACTTACTTTCCTAAATGGCTTATTGAAGGATCACTTGATTCCCAGTTTTATTTCTTTAGTCTACCAACTCCTCCTAGCTTTCTACATCTGTGCTAATTTTCTCTCACTCCTTGGTTCTTTCACCACTTTCAATGCCTTTTCTGCCTATTCACATTATCACTCATGTTTTTACTTGCTTAAGTCTGTGCATGTTAATAATTCACTTGATTTGGAAGAATAATGCACATTTCCTCCTTGGCTCATGTATTCCAAACCAAACTGCTTCTCTTCACTGTTGGCACCAACTCACACGTGGTTTACTTAAAAATTGGTTTCAAAGCAAAAAAAAAAACAAGCTGCGCAAAACAAAGTTTTCAGCATAGTGTATGTGTAAGTGCCATCTGAATGATTATTAATGCAGTGTTTTTCTATGCATAGGGGCCAGGCCTCTCTCAAGCAATTTGTTTGATGTAAATTAAAATGGAAATTTAATTTTTATGACAGAAATAATTTACTGCAAAGACTCAAGATGAGATTAAAAATGCTTCTGATGTCCTGAATGAATGTAGATAATACACGCCTTAATAGAGCAGGACGTTCATATGTATATATTCATGTTTACATTTTGCATGTTACATGCAGCAGCTGAGCTTCTGTACTTCTGATTGTAGTATTTGTTTGATCACCAGGCAAATTGCTTGCTCTTTCTCTTTTCACTTGTAAAATGTGGATATAATTTCTATTTGTAATAATATAAGAATTAATGTTAGTAAACCAAGCATAAATTATTATCCATTGGCCTCATTACCAGCTCATTTATTTCAGTATCATTCCACTGATAATTAATAGTCCAAATATTTGCTAATTTTCCTTACTTTCTTTGAAAAAAAAACAATTTCTGTAATCCTTAGAAAATCCCACTGATAACTTGTTAATTAAGCTTTAGTAAGTGAGTAAAAGTGACTGTGTTTCTTTTTTTTTTTTGGTGATACATATTAGTTTATTGATATTGTTGCAGTATCAGGAAAGCACCAGTGTTTTATAGTACAGATACACAGTAAAAGTATTGTCCTTTAAAAAAAGGGATCAGAATCTCAGAATTGGTTCAGAGTTCCAGCTGTGACTGGCAGAATATAACAATTGTGAAATACAGAATGAAAATAAATCTGTAGGTGGCTGGCTTAACCTATACAGTAATATCAGGCAGTACAGCCAAACTGCAGCACATGGGGAAATGTAAATAATTGTTACTAGTCCTTCCATAATCCTGGAAATTTCTAACGTTAATCATACCATAGACAATCCTTCACTATATCCCAACTAACTTGCTGTTCTCTTCTGCTTCAGCAAGCAAAGACTGATCTCTGTTTTGTTCAAGGAAATGTAATTTGTGGAACTGTAACTCTTGGCATAACTAGATAACCTTAAACACTGTCATCAGTTTCTGATCCTAATGGGTATGTCCTGAAATGAATTGAATTGTGTTGTCGTACTTCAGCCTAATGTTATAACATTATTTTGTAATTCCTTAGTACCTTTCATCTTATCTTATAAAACTTACTGGCAAATATTGTTGACAGAATGCTACTAATATTGCAGAGTTAAGAAAAAAAAAATTACACAGAGCATTGCTGTTGTTGTAATAGAGCAATTGCCTTTAGCCATTTTATGTGTGTGTGATATAATTTCTAATTTCACAGTCACACTGTTTCTTCACAAGGGCCGTGCTGCAGTCAGGAGAAAAATAGTTGGTGCTTATTTGTGAGGAAGCATTTGTACTGCATTTCCTCCTAAGGGCGTGAGCTCTAAGTTGCTTTTGCTGAGTGTACTTCAGTCTGTCAGTCAGCATGCTTTTGGGTATCTTTTTGTTAACTATGAACACATCATTCGCCTTTCAGAAGCCTAAGCTATGTCAACCTTGTTTGCAGCTTGAAACCTTCCAGATACCAAGTGTCAAAGAACAACCAGTATTCCTAAATGAGCTAGGGCCCCAGTCATATGCAGTATGGTTGGCATGATGCTCACCGATGCATGGATTAAGAAGGAAAATGCAATCGAGAACCACTTGCAAAACAGCTTTACATCAGGACAGCAGTATGTGATTTTACATCATGGGACTCTCTTGTAGTCTTCAGACTAACCATGCAGTTTTCCATCTCTGCCGCAAGTGAGGAAGGTTGCTACTACAGAAAAAAGGCTCAATTGCAACGCCTTGTGCGGTAAGCATTGGGAGGGGGTTATATGATCATTGAATTAGAGAATGTATTAGTATAAATACGCACAACAAGTGGAAATTATGGCATCACAGGTAATCCTAATCCTGGCATTTAAAAAATTGTAAAATGCCTCTTTTTTTTTTTTTTATTAAAGACATATACCTTTTTCTTTTCTGTCAATGTGCCATTGCCCGTGGTTTTATCAATGCATGTTGAATAAAAAGAAATGTCATTGCTGACATCTACAGAGGTCATCAGGAAAGCGGTAACTGCTATGTTAACTGTAGAAACTCCTGCCAACTCAAGCTGACAAGCCAGCTTCTGTCAGCAGAGTGGTTGTCATCCTTTACATGGGCCATTTCTAGCCTTCTTTCAAAGACAGTTGATATCAGCAGTGAGACCTCAGCAGTTTTCCCTCACCTTAAAAAAAAACTGATTTTCCTACTGAGGTTGCCTTTCTCAGCCCCAATCCTCACTGCCTGTCCTCCTGCAGGGAGGGTGCAGGGTAGATAATCTCTACTCTGTCCTTCAACTGTTGTGCATGCTCAGCATCCCAGCTGCTTGCCTGAAATGCGGTGTGTCATTTTCAGCATCACCATCTACTCCCTTTGCTTCTTCCAGATCTGCAGATATGCTGCACACTGCAATGCAGTGAATGCATAAATCACCTACTTACACGTGTATATATGCACAGGTACTGCAAGTATCCCAGTGCCAGCAGCATCGAGCTTTTCCTTACCATGAACTTCCCTTTTACAAGCTGGTCTGGTTCTGCTGCCTGGTTATAGACTTGGCTGCACCTGTTTAAAGTATTCTGAAAGAATGTGCATATCCAGTGCTGTGATGACAACCACTGTCAGTGATTTTGTACCTCACAGAGACCCTTTGATCTGGAAAACATTGTATTTGTAGTTGGCAGTCAATACATGTTTTAAAATCAAATGCTTGTTAAATGAAAGGGAAAACTGTGTCTTTTGATATTCTGGATCTGGATTCATCACTGCTTACAGTACATGACAGGTTTTGAAAAACAAAGCTGCTGTGTCTTTCTGTACTGTTGTCTACTGGGATTGCAGATATTATAAAGTTATCCTTGGAGCGATTAGAACAGTGGCAGCAAAGACAATGCCTTTGGAACTCTGCTGTGAAATTCTGCATGAATACAGTCTGTAATTTTACATGGAAGAGAATTTATGGCTCCACTAAGCCATGCAGACAGTGGTAAATATGAAAAGATACAGAGAATTTGTCTGAAAATTTCTGAAGTCAGAAGAATTCTAAAGAGACAAAATCAGATCTCAGAGAATCCCTGCCTTTCAGCAAGAAAACTGGAAGTGGCATGTCCAGAAACTGGGTAAATTAAAATTTAAACAATGCAAGATGAGTGTTAAGAAAATAGGAATGTTGAGAGCTCAGAGACAGCTTAGTCTTCCAGTTTGGAAGGAATTGCATCAGTATAACAAAAGCCTGACTTACCCAGAGATTTCCAGTAGAATTAGCAACGGTATAATAATTAATAATGGTGGTATCTGGATTTCCAGAGTTACGTTTCAGAACTTTTTACAATATCCTTGTACCAGTCAGAGCTCCTGTTTCTCTGAGGCTGTTGATACGAACATAGGCATGGCAAGGACTTCTGGGACAATTTTGCTACTCTCTCCCTAATGCAGGTCACACCACATATAATCCTTTCATTTACAAATTTATGAATCTTCATCTTTATATATTTAGGGAGTTTTGTTACTGTTACTGCCATTGAAAATCTGTTCCAGAGCCTCAAAACTCTCTGAGTATTCAAAATATTTTTCTAGTTCCTAGGTTAAATGTACTTACGATCCATTTATACCATTTCACATTTCTTACAAAATCCCACATCCTTTAGGTTGTAGCTCTTTCTTCAGAATGTCATTTACCATCTGATTTCTGTGTGGTCATTTTCCTTGGCAACCCTTAGTTTTGCAGACTTAAGTACTCTGCACTCTTTCAGTTGGACGTCAGAGGGGGGCTCTGTGCTCTCCTTATCATCTGAGTAGCTGTGGTCCAATGTGAAATCTCTCCTGAAGCATACACAAAGGGTACGCAGCATTTGAGATGGGAATTCAGCATTTCAAAACCCATCAGAGTTCAGGTATCTTTGTTGGAAACACCTCCCTTATGCATTCTTAATGATACTTGCTTTTTTCACATCTATGCATGTTTTGCCTTATGGTTTGAGTGGCTGATAGTTTTCTGACAGTTTTCTGTGACTGTGCTGTTTCTTTTCTTTGGCTACTTTCAGCTTTCAGTTCAGATTCTTGTTGCTCCTGACAGAGCATTTACACTACATTTCATTCCATTTTATTGTTCTGTTATTTAAGGGCATCCAGATTTTCCTAGTCTATATCCTGGTCTATCCTGGGTTCAGCACCCCATGCATGCAGGAGCAAATTCATAAGGGAGGAACATCCATCTTCTCCTCCTCAGCATCTCGCAGGTGTTGCTCAGTTTAGTGCAGCCTTGCAAGTTTATTGTAGCTCCTCAACTGTATTTATGAGGGTTGTGGGGTGAGGCTGATGTGCCTAAGCTCTGACAGCAAGGAGACTTACCTTTGAGTTCTGTAGCTGCAGTACACACTGTTAACAATTCCTGTCTTCAATATTTAAAAAAAGTTCCCACTTTTTAGAAATTTTCTTTATAAGGGCAAAGTTAAAATTCTGATTTTATTCTAAAGTTGTTTTTTTTTTTGGTTTCTCCTCTAAAGACAAATTATACAAAAGAAGTAGATTAATGGATTTTATTTTTTTTTCATTCCTACAGTTGTGGAAAACATAGGGATCTTTTCTTTATCCTCCTGAGACATCTGGCTCTTAACTGCGTGATTACTGTGATAAAATGAAAAATTGAAGGATCAAAAGAGATAAACCTGGCTTTATACCTCATCCAAGCAAATATTCTTCTGGCCTAAAATTACGCAGGGTATAGTGATGAAGTATGGTAGAAATTCTGTCAGTGCTTGGGCTACTCATTTTTATGTCAGTGCATCTCTTACTGAAACAGGCAGTGTATCACTACCTACAGATAGGTTGTGAAATCTTAAATTGGTAAGTTTAAGTAAAATTCACGGCTGCCTTGGAGCATTATATGTGACATGAAGGTGAAGGTCAGCTCTCGTTTTCCATGGAAGAAATGTGAACCTGACATGACCTGATCAATGGAACATATTTAACTAATGTTCTCTGGGTTTATTCTGTCCTAAAAGCTGAACAATACCAAAAGTTGATAAACCATGGACCAGATATTTTTTCTCCAAGCAGTTGTTATACAGCACTCAAGCAATTAATAAAACCCCTAAGTTTAAAAGAGTCATCTCTTAATTCACTAAACATTACCAAGCACATCATTTTAGCTTTATTTTCCCCTTTTACAGTGGTAAAGATCTGTATGCCCTGGTAGTTATTACCATGTCGATAAAAAAAACAACTGAAAATAACATCTAATAATGATACAAAGAATATATAGGGGAAGAAATTATAGTAATCAACACGACAGATGGATAGACAGCATTTTGATCTTCTACTTACCTGCTGCCAAAGTCAATCCAAATAACATGGCTCTGAAACACTGTGAGCCACAAGGGAGAGAGAAACTAAGTTGATCTGTTAGTTGGCCTAATGAAATCTACTTCCCTGGTGATTTGTATTCCATATCTGTGTGGTTGTCCAGCTTCTTCCTCATCTGTACCTCCCCTGACCTCCCCACCGTTCCGTCTCCTCTTCCTTGCAGCCACCAAAGACATGGGATGGCACGTGGACGTGGCATGGCTAGGCGTGATCTGAACAGACTGTGGACTCATGGTGAGTGGGGGTGCTAATTAGGGTGCTCTTTCTATTAAATTCTTCTGTCCAGCTGCCAATTATAGAAGAAAATGGTAGGAGCTTACTGTGTTTGGAGATCTCTGTCCATCTGTCAGATCTGTCTGACGTGGACCAGTTGTTTCCAGCGTTATCAGGAGTCAGTGGAGAGACAAAGTAGCTGCAGAAGCCTTGCTTCCTTAGAATGGCCACTTTAAAATCACCTGAAATGTAATTAAAGGGTTTGTTTGGTTTGGTTAAATAAATAGGTACCTGTGGGGATGGATGTGAACTGGGACAGACACTGTCTTCTTAAAACATTGACAAGCAAAACAACCTCTTTCTGGAGCAGACATGGAAGTAATTCCTGGTCCTGGACTGCTCTAATGGAAGCTTGGAGTTTGAGACAATCCACACAGGAAAAACAGTACACTTCTTTATTTACTTCAGGAAGGACAGCTCTTCAGGGATTTATGCAGTGAATAACATAGATCATAGTCCTCATAACTGTCGGCTGCATTTCCACTAGAAAAAAATAGTTCTTTCCATCAATCCTATCCGTTGTAAATTATCCTGCTTTTCCATGTGATAATTTTTCCTTTACACCTGTTGTCTTCATTAACACATGTAGAACTGTCTTCTTCTCCCCTGTCATGGAACGGGACGGACCATGGCATTACTGGTCTCCTGGAAAACCACCAGCACTCCAGTTTTAAATTGCAGAATCAAGACATCTCTGGCAAAATCGACGTGGTGGTGCGATTCGGGTGCCGGACAGAAGAGGGTGCCCTTCAGATAGCCTGGGTTAGGAAAAGACCTTGGCTGTTGACACTGAAAACAGCCAGAGGTCGGCAAACTCCCAGTGCAAAAGGAAGAGTTTCCCGGTGTATGGCCATGCTGCAAGCTGCGTGCACGCTCTAGTGACCCCTGCCATAGAGCTCCATGTGAAGCGCAGGAAGGTGGAATTACTAGTCCCTAGAATAGTGTTTTGATGTAGACAGAAATCTTGAGAACAGCATGCTGGGAGTGAGCTATGTTGTTGGTATTTCTGCTCCATTCAGAAAGCGGCTGCCAGCTTACAGATTTAACGCTAAATATGTACACCGGAGTCTCCATACTGTTCAAATCAGTGCTTTAGAAGGTTGTCACTTACGCAGCCAACACTGTATCTCATAAACCACCTGAGGAAACAAATCCTGTGCTTGGCTGCCTGCATGCAAATGTGATTTTTGACTGATACTCCTGATGTGCATACTCCTACAGGGAGTAAGCTTGTATTGGCCGCATTGAACAAGCAAAAATACTTCCACGCTGTAAAACACTCCCATAACTTTGATTCAAGTTTAATCAATTACATGAGGTAATTTAGAAAGTACTTACAGCTGGGTGAAGCATTTTATTCAGAGTTAGACTCTGACATAGTGTGATAACCAGGCAGTAAACTCTGAGTCAGCTGTCAATTTCTGTAGAAATGAGGCATTGCCAGAGCTTAAAGATCTGCTCCAAACATTTCTATCAAATAAATCATATCTCCTGAGTGGATATTTCCACTGGCTTTGACAAGGAAGAAAGGATATATTGTCTTTGGGTAGATCTGGGGAAGCTCAGTAAAGCTGTAGTGTTCTCAAGCCAGCCATGTCTACATACAGGCTTAATGCAAGTATTCAGGGTGAAAAGATGCTCTTAAATCTTGATTTCTGTTTTGCAAACCCTCACAGCCCTCAGGTAAATTCATTGGATCATTTTTGTGTTTGAAACATACGTTGTATCTTTGAAACTGAATCTAATGCTTTTAAAGGAACTAATGATCAGTGTTTTCAATAAGGAGTCTGGAGTCCAGTGTTAGCTTGTGAGCCATAAACAAGGATAGGAAGACCTACAGGATATACTACAATATACCAGCTTAGCAGAATTGATGTTTTCCTTTTTCAGGTGCCACTTCAGATAGAATTGTCTTTTCAGGGAAACATAATTTCTCTACTCAAATTGAACCAGGTGCGGAATAAGCTGCTCCACTCCTAAGACAAATACAGGTATTTTTATTTTCCTAAACTCTTACATTACAGTACAAAAACTTCATTCCAAACTATGTTTCATCTATAAAACTGTTTAAAGCACAAAATCAAGAGTGTGTCCTGAACAAATGTAGCGCAGCTTCATTTCGAACTGGTGAAAACCATAATTACAAGTGACCAGAGTTTATAATCTTGTGTTACTTTATCTTTGCTGAATGAGGTAGAAATGCATTGGGATAGTGTTTTGTAGCTACTTTTACTCAAATATATGAGGTCAACCCTGAGGAAGCCATTATGGGGTCTTCAAGAACAGTCGCAGAAGCAAAGGGAAAAGTATTCTGGCCTTGGGGAAGAAATACGGGCTTGCACAGGAGTAAGAGGAAGAGGGACACTCTGTCTTTTGGCCACAAGTTCAGCTTCACACAGATTATGTTTGCCTATTATTGTACAGTCAATGCTGAAAAGACTCAGAGAAGTGTGAAGTAATACTATTTTACTTATATGTGACATAGAAAATAAATCAGATTAAAATGTGATGTTTCATTGCTTGTTTTGCTCATCGTTATCTTCCCTGAATACTCTGAATACTCGGAAGTACTGACTTCTACTATGGAAGCAGTTGGACAAATTGAGTATGTCCTTGCTGAAGTTTCAGAAGAATAATAGAAAGCTGCTTGTTTAGTCTGCCTTGTTGAGCGGAAATTACATGGCATCCCGACAGCAAAATAGACTCATATTCATAACAAATTTAATTCATCTCTGCTAGGCTTTGAACTGGACTGAACTTTCTCTGCAAGACAGGGGAATAACTCATAAATGTGTTATTCTGGAAGAATCAGAGGCAAAATCAATACACTTTGCTCATGATGCACAGCAGTGGGTTGTTGTAATGGTGATTATAGGTTCTCCGTCAGTAGCCAGGACTGGATGCTCAAGCTACACTAAAAGTTTCTCTCACTTGACAGAACAAACATGAGTTGGTACAGGCTCATGTCACCCTATCTTTTTATTTGAAAAGGTGACAATTGACACTACAGACCTTGCTGCTCATTTACTATTGATGAATATTATGGTGTCATATTAATAGATTTCTTCAGTAAATGGCCAGAAGTAGCCTCTATCACATGTTTATCTGCATTGGTCATGACTTTCCATTTAGTCTTTTTACCAGAGAAAGCTCAAAAAACTGGTGTCCACAAACAGATGAAAATTCCTATTCTTTGCAACTTCAATATATTTCCTGAGGAAAAGAGTCATTGTACGTAGACAACCATCAGCACTGTATCCTTCGGTTCATTAAGACCTAAATACTCCAATAAAGCCTTGAAAGAAAGATAAGAGATTGTGAAACTGAGAGGAAAATGTAGGGAAACTTTCACTTCAAATGTCCTAAAAATATGAACAGCCAGGTGAAATGCAGCAAAGCTGGGGGGGGGGGGGAACGGACGAATTTCAAAGCATAAAGTAAATGCTGTTCTGTCACAGGTACTTGGAGGAGAAAAACCAAGAGAAACCATGCAATGGAAACAGGAGAGATGAAAACTGTTAATTGGTTCTGTGCTACCAAGGATCTGCAGTTTGCAAATGATCTGTTTGAGGATGCATAACCCCGTGAGATGAGGGGATCACAGTTTGAGGGAAAAAATGGATCTATTATTACAGCTTATCTGATGGATAAACATGAAGAGTTTTGAACTGTGCATGTCTTACCTGTGGCAACATGGAGGCATTTTGGTGCATCCACCTGTAATCTGTGGTTTGTGTTAGTCTTTCCACTGTAAGATGCGCAACGGGCGATAGAGGACCAACACCCTGCCAAATTTACTCAAATCACCTCCTTGTAAACAACTGCTTGTAAAGATACAAGCAGTTCTGTGCAAGTCCTGAAGGAGCCTTTCATCGACATTATTTAGTTCTACACCAGTTTGTAAATTTGCTTTTTGGTTACTTGGCTGCTTACTTCCTGGCTGCATAATTAGTGAATACTGATGGAATAAACTTCTGAAACTTCTTTCTACGTGGCCAGATAACACATAATCATGTTTAAAATCTGACAGATCAGTAGCACTCAAGTAATGCTTTTTATCTGGTCTTTGTTTATATCATTTGTACCCTTTGATAGCTTTTGTATCTATTGGTCAATGCAAATTTGGCAGAGGAGCAAAGGATTACAAAGATGCAAAGTTCCCTTGAGCTTTGGGCAAATGGGTGCCCCAGTGAAGGAAGGGCTGATGTGTGTGTGCAAGAGTTACTTGCTCTAGATAATCTGGTGCTACCCCATCAGCACAGATGACTAGTCAGGGCACTCACAGGGCAGTCACATCATGCATGGTCTTGCATAGTCAGAGATTTGGAGATGAGGAGGTAAT